GATTTTTAAAACAGTCCAACCAATGTTGGAAAATTTATTATCTACCGATTTTGAAAGTTTTTTTAAAATTAAGTTACATATATAAATTTTCAATTTATAGCATCTTGAAAATTTTATGTTATTTTTTTAAGTATAAGTTAATATTTAACTTAAAAAGTTAAATATATACTTAAAATTTTATTTTTAGTACTTTTTAGTTATAAATAAACTTTATAATTATAATGGAAACAAAAAAGGTATTTTCTTCTCAAAATGTAATGTTTTTAGTTTCCAGAAATCTTTAGAAGGAAAAACATTCCCTAACACCAAATTCAATTTGGAGTCATAATTCCGTAAACTAAAATATAATGTCATTTGCATAATCATCAATTCGACAACAACTGATAAAAATATTTCAAAAAGAAATCTAAACTGTGAAAATAAAATTACGAACCTGACCAGATGCAACAATAACCGGATCCCTCATGAGTTCCTTGGAAAGTGGGCACTTAAACTCCTCTGGAATCTTCTGTGAAACTGTATCCTGATGATGAGGATGAATCTTTGAAGAGGATAATGATTTTTTTACCTTCAATTCTTTCAAAGCACATAACATTTGCTCGGCTCTATCAATCGTCCCTAAATAATCATCATCCTCATCAACAATTGCCTTCACTAACTTCTGCAATTCCCTCTTCAACTCCATGGCCTTGGCTACCATACCTGGATCCCCTTCAAATGCCCCACTCTTTGCCATTGCCCAAATTTTCTTCCTTCTGATCCCTAATTATAAAAATCCTGATGAGTTTCTCCTTTCAATTTTTCTTTGAAATTGTTCGCGTTCGTTTGCATGACGAGGAAGCTTTTATAGCTCTAGCTAATTAATTCACACGCTACACACTGTAGAGCGTTAAATTGAGTGCCCGTACAGAAATTTCCTAGGTGTAAAATGAGAATGAAGGAGATGAGACGGGGATTGTGCATAGTGAGTGTGGTGTGTTTTTAGGGGATCCAGTGAGAAAACCATGGCCGGACAGCTGGCGGCTACGCGGTGAAAAATGGACGGCTTCGGTCAAGCGTTGTATTTGGTGTAGGTGTTATGGAATCCATCCTGTATGGAGGGGTCCATGTTTAGGAGTATGGACTACCAACTCTCTAGAGTTTCATATTGTCTTGCCCGCACCTTAGGAAAGATTCATTTTCAATTATAAATATTTTTCGTAAAATAATTTTTCATATAAATCGAAATTTTTTCTCTTATTTTTTTGAGTTTTGCTACACAAATATAATGTTTGACATAGAGAATGACACAACACACACAAATGAGAATGTCGGCATTATTTAATTCAAATCGGGACCCACATACAATGTGAGTAGGCGGTCAACCCCTATGTTAAGCATTATGTTCATTTAACTTAATTCTATTTTCTAATCACATGCTCTTAAAAATTTTATTATTTCAAAACACGTTTCTCTAAACAATGGAGCTCAAACAAGGGCTTACTCTTTGATCTCAACTTTTTAAAATTTATTTTTAAATTATATATTTTATAAGATTCACAAGAATCATTACTCAACATTTTAATCATAATTTCATTAAAATCTACTAAAAATAAAATAATTTATAAAGTAATTCAATTCAAATAATCAAATAAAAGTGGATACTACGAAGTAGTTTACCATCAACGATGTGCCCATGCGTCCATTTTAAAGGAAAATGGTTGTTGTATATTATTATTTACAAATTCTTTCACAAATTGATGAGATAGCAATAAATTGAATTAAAATCGTCAAAATTTCTCCACCACTTAAAAGATTGAGAGATTTTTTTTAACATCTGTTGCTAAATAAATTTGTATGTTGTGATGTGCATGTAACTCGTTCTATACATACTTAAAGTGAAAATTCCGTTGATAATTTTTCATCTGAAATATGACCATTGGTGATTATCGATGCATTTACCTACACATACATTTTTCTTAAGTTGGTCAAAAAATACCTAAGAATTTCTATGGTAGCCATTAGCAACAGTTTTAACAAGGATTTAGTTCGATAAAGATTACAGTCATTTGAGTAAAGTAATAAATGGAATTAGACTGCACGAGAACACACAAACCAATCAAACCTGTACGTAGTTTTTAAAGTAAATCAAAATTGGCACACAGATTGGCCTATCCGATTGCCCCATGGTGATTTGAATCTCGACTTTCGAGATGGAAATGATGCACTAAACCAACTTTATTCAAATTACATTTACTAATCAAATATATAATATATGCAATGTGATCAATTACAGGTAAAATTATATGATAGGCTTAATTAATAGTACTTATATCCTTATCCGTCATGGAAAGTTTAAATAAAATATATTCTTAATGAATCATATTCAACCTTAATCTCGCCAACTATTGATTTGAATTTGAATCATATTCGAACTTGTTGTTGGCGGTGATGAAGATGACGGCAACTGTAGGGTGCTATTTGATTAGGGTGTAGAAGAAGTGGAGTGGGGTGTTGGTGGAGGAGGGGGTGGGGGTGGGTGGATGGAAGAGAGATTGAAGAAGATGAATAGTAGTTTTTTTATTTCTTTTCTTTATAATCATTTTANAGATGAACAGTGATTTTTTTATTTCATTTCATTTCTTGTTCTTTTGTTTATAAGCATTTTAAATGTAAAATACAAAGTTACCATTTTATCCTTAATGAATTTGGTCAATTTTGACTTTTTTGGTCAACTAATGGTCAATTGGACAGAAACCGTCCATTTGGACTCCGGGTGCGAATTGTTTAAAGGTTTGGTATCGTGGGTGGCACAAAACAAAGGTTTGAGTAAAGTCTGCAAAAATGTGAAAGATTTAGTACCGTAGCTGTAATTTTCCCTAAAATAAATGAAATAAACACAAACATGTACCAGTTAATTTGAGAAAAAAAGAAGGAATATATACTCAGTGCACGTTTCAGAGTTATCAATATTATAAATCTCACGAAATATATAAATAAAGACTGATTTTATCAATTATAAACAGGTGTCAAGCACGTGCTTAATGACTTCACATGATCTACTTGAGATAATTTTTTACTCTCTAGTGTCAAAGGTCTTCAGCAATTATCTTTCAAGATAGCACTAAATTTTAGTGAAAATTTTTGAATTTATTTGAACTTAAAAAGTGTTGAGCAGTTGGGCCATTTCATGTTCGCAGGTCCAGGATTTTTCTCCTTGGCAAATGAATCAAACCTGCCAGGGAATAACTTGCTTATAAGCACATGTTAAACATGCCTCCATACTAGCGAGATACGACGTGCTATATGTATAACATCAACCATATGCACCAATTTCTTGTGCATTTCTTCAAAATAAATATATATAGCTTTCGCATAATTTTTCAACTTAAATTGAGTACAAGTATTTCATCGTCATTCACTCAAACGAACATGTTGGTATCAAGAAGTGACGTGATACCTTTCTATTCAACTTAAAGGAAAGCTCAAGAGCTGAAGAAGTGACGAAGTCAAAATTTGAGGTTCATTTAAATTCAAGGGGAGGCATGCAAATGTAAAATGTATTAATAATGGAGAATTTCATTCTCAAGGCCCCTTGAGAAATGGCTTCCCTTATTTAGGGGAAGAAATTACAATTATCAATCGTCTTAGTCATTTTTTGTTACAGAATTCAATCTATATTCACTTATCACTTGTCACATCAATCATTTTTATTGGTGGATTAGAGTTGGCGTTGGTTGCGTAATGATCACCTAGATTGTAGATTTGCCACCTATTTCACGGGTTTGCACGGTTTGAATACAAAATTTTTTGCCCTTGAATGATTGCTCCTCAATTAGAGTAAAGTATCATTCTTAAGTATTTAATTTGTTGAACTCATGAGCTGAGTTTTGTCGTTGTAAAGAGTCAAAACTCATTTGTTGAGGTCGTCTGGAGTGCATGATTGAACTTGTTTGATTTTCGAGATGACAAGTGGTGGTTGACGCCACAAATGGACCATGGTCAAGTGGGCCCTTCATCCAACGTTGGAGGTTGGAGGCCAACAAAACCTCTCGTCTAGAATCTCATGTGAAATTTTCATCTTATACGGCTCTTCCTTGTGAGTACAATTATGTGCTTTACGTACCAGTGTAAGTTCCTTGTAGCGGAACAAATATGGACCGTGGAAGAGCCGCCGGGTTATGAAAAGGTAAAATATATTAAAGGCAAAGGGGCCACCACGTGAATACAGTCCATCCGATTCCTCACTTATTCCTTCATTCAAATATTTTTTCCTTTTCAAGTCCCACTATTCCTGTCCCAATAATCAAAGAAACCTATAGAAAAGAATATCTACAATGACCCGTGAAAAAATTCGCACAATCAACAGTCAAAATCCAACCACGAAGTGAACATGTGATTGGAGAATTCTTAAACTATAAACCCTTAGCTTTCTTTGATATTATTTTACTGACTCGAAATATTGAAGCTAATGGATTCAGCATATGCGGTGGGAGTGGAGGGTCCTTCTTCGACAGGAACAAACAGTGGATGCGACTCCAAGGGTGTTGGCTGCGGGTCAACTGCTGCGCCACCGAATCGCTACGAGTCCCAGAAGCTCCGGGACTGGAACACTTTCCTAAAGTATCTGAAGAACCAAAAACCACCGTTGACACTGACCCAATGCAGCGGAGCTAGTGTAATCCAGTTCTTGAAATACCTAGACCAGTTTGGGAAAACTAAGGTGCATGTCGAAGGGTGCCCTTATTTTGGGCAGCCCAACCCTCAAGAACTTTGCGCATGCCCTTTGAAACAGGCTTGGGGCAGCCTGGACGCCCTCATCGGACGACTTAGAGCAGCCTATGAAGAGAACGGAGGGAGTCCTGAATCCAACCCTTTTGCAGCCAAAGCTGTGAGAACATATCTTACGGAAGTGAGGGAAAGGCAGGCGAATGCCAGAGGAATATCCTATAAGAAAAACAAGCGAAAAAGGTCCACTGCCACTGCCGACACCCCCGTGGCTGGTGGCGTTAGTTATACTAGTAGTGTCGGTGGGAATGTTGATGGTAATGGTAATAGTACTAACCTAATTTCAACTACTACAACGACGTGTTACAAAATTAATTAATTCCGGTATTCTCAATGTTTGTATAAGTTTTATGTTTATCCTGTTTGTATGTCATTAAGCTTTTAAATAAAATGGTTGGACTAAATTGTCGGGTTTAAATGGAGGGAACGCGCTTACTTGCAAAATCTCTTTTGTAATTCCGGTTCGTTTAAGTTCATCTTTGACTAATATTTATAATCAGTCAAATCACTTTTTATTTATACATTTCTTGAGGTCATTGAAACTTATAAGTATACCCAGTTATTCAGTATTTATTTATAATTTTAACTGATTATAAACAACCCCAACCACACACTAAGCGTCGACAGCTGCCCCCGTTGTTGTCCGAAACCTGAGATGATGCATCCATGGATCTCTTTCATATGCGATTTTGAATTAAATAGCATTTATTTCTTAATTTCCAAGGCTTGGCTATGGAGAATATTGATAGAAATATCATTAAAACATATTAATTGAATGGACCATGGACAAGTACATAATCATTTACATAATACATTACGTAATTGACATGTGGAGCACATCCATCAGTAGTCTACAATTTTTGACTTTTCCACACTTCACATTCATGGACGAATTTCTTATACGNCATGTGGCGCACATCCATCAGTAGTCTACAATTTTTGACTTTTCCACACTTCACATCCATGGTCGAATTTCTTCTACATGAATTTATGTAATCCATTATGTACAATAATTATGTACATATAGATTTATCCAAATTTCATTGGCCAGCTTATCAATTCAGAATGGTTGATATTTGTGTTGATACCATCAACTTTAATAGAACCGTACGTACTATTTAAAAACTAAAAAGCCGTAAAGATATAGCCAACTTAACAAGCTCCAATAAAAAGACAGAGAAATTAATTTTCCTTTGATAGTTGTTGGTGGAGTTAGGGAATTTTTTATTTTTTTATTCTTAATATTATTACATATATTTTTAATTTTTTTTTCTATAATTAAATTAAGTCCAATCCTTTGATCTTCTTTTCTAAACTCTTTTTTTTTTATATCCAAGTGTCCACCTTCGACGACTAATCATGGGGTCTACACCTTGGCCCCTCAAGACGCAGACCAGATAAACCGCGGGATGAACTCATAGAAAGTTTGTTTTGTAGCTTAAGTTATTTTATGGTATGTTCCAAACAGACCCTAAAATATTGCATGTATAATAAATTTTTGTACCATATTTTGGATTAGGTTGTTAACTTTACGTTATGTAATACAGTAATAGTGATGTGATTCATTTCATTTTGAAAAGAATAATGTTATTCATTTCCATTGGGGTTGAGACTCAATTTATGTGGCAATTATATGTCATTAAATAATAGACCCTATTAAATGAGACATGTGACTTGTTTCATGACTATTTTATTCTTAGTTTTCGGCAATAATATTTTCCCATGGCCATTTTGGTTGAGTAAAGACACTGCCAAACTAAAGTTCAGAAGCAAGAGGGACGGACGTGTCGGTACTAAAAATCCACCTCCTTGAATTCTTGGTTTTTCACACGCATGCCTCTGTGATATATTGTTGGAAGTGATGAGAAATAGGAGGAGAGAACTCTTTTTTTTTTTCTTAATTGTAGGAGCAATAGGCTTGAACACGTTAATCTTGGTTTTCAAACGATGTGTATCCCCTCGAAAATGTTTTAGAGTGCTTAAAGGAATTCACCAACAAATAATTTGCAGGAATAAACAAACTTTTAAAAAGAAAACATTTAAACAACTGTGATTTCTTCAAAAAACTTGACGAACACTGATTGGGCTCCATTTGAATGAGAATTTGAAGAAAATTGTATTTTGGAATAGTACTTTTTTGAATATTAAGATAAAATCATCATCTAAGATCCGCAAGGGGTTGGAGATAAAGGCTATACGTTGAAGACTCGTCAAAAGATAAAATCGTGTCTATTGGGTTAGTTGGGTGATCATCAGTAACTTAGACGTGGTCAAAATCCAATTTCACCAGGTTTTGGAGCTCTCGGATTGATAACGGGTTCAAAAGTAGGCCTTTTGATGGTTGATGAGTTGGCCTAGAGGTCATGTCATATTTGTTGGGCCGTTTCACGTGTCTTGTTAGGCAATAGAAAAAGGGAAAATTTCTTAGTTAAGAAGTTTAATTTTACTAAATATATATTTTATTAATGAAATATATTAAAGTCGCAATTCCATATAATTTGATCACAAATTTCTTATAATTGATCACAAATCACAAATTTCACAAATTATTTTACTATCACAATTCAAAAATTTTATAGGTCACAATTAGTTCATCGACCACAAATCAAAAATTGAAACGTCGCAAATTATTTTATGGTCACAATTAAAAAATTTTACGTATCACAATTTGTTCATCGGTCACAAATCAAAAAATTTTTAAGTTACAAATTATTTTACTGTCACAAATCAGAAATTTATAGGTGTCAAATTAATTTACGGTTACAATACAGAAATTCTATAAGTCACAATTTGTTCATCGGTCACAAATAAAAAAATTTATACTTTACAACTTGGTCGCAATTGTATACAATTTGGTTACAAATTCATTTATCAGTCACAATTCAAATTTTTAGATCACACATTATTTATTAGTCATAATTTATCGGTCACGTGTTATTTTTTAGACACAGAATATCCAAATTAATGGTCA